AAAATTGAAAACTATAAGGAATTTTTTTTTAAATCTTGGATTTGAAATTTAGTGTGAGTGCAACTGGCCCTACTATTACCACCACTGTAAATCCGCCATTACAAGATGAGGCGATAAGTTTTGGTTTCAGCATTTTTGAGTTACTTTTAGGTCATTTCGATTAGTTCAACGGCCTCTTGTCTTTTATGATATTGCGCTTGTTCGATTGAAGTCGATCTTTACTTCTTCTGTTGGAGTTTTTCCGGTAGAGATTTTGAAGTTGGTCTAGAAGATAGGAGTTGTGCTTATGGACTCTTTAATAATGGTGGACTTGCTGATGCATATACTTCTGCTTAAATTTAATGCATAATAAACACTGTTTATGAATGATTTTTCGTCCTCCAGCTCGTTTCATTTATCGTCTGTTCATTTATTAACAGGGGCGGAGGGAGGGGTGGGCTATAGCCCAACCCCACTCCAGCCCAAAAGCAATGTTTTTTTAAAAATATTTGGTTAATTTGGTTTAAATATTTGGTTAAGGGTAATTGGAGCAAAACGTCCATACCTTTGCCTGTCTTTGTGGAAAACGTCCATACCTTTCGTTTCTTGACGCAGAACGTCATTTTTCCTAATTTTTAACGTAAAATGACCATTATACCCTCCAATATAAATAAAACAAAAAAGAAAATAAAAGAAAAATAAAAAATAAATTGCAATCTTACTCCTAGACTTTTTTAAAAAGGCAAATCAGTCCAAAACACTAATTTCATTTCACCCAACATCACACCCTAATTCTCTCATTCTATTCTATCTCTACAACCCGTCGCCTCCCTCCAAACGGGAATCCCCGGGAATCCCTTCTCTCTTTCACTACCATTTCACTCACCGACCTCCATTCTCTACTCTCCCTCCCCTTACCACCCATCCCAATAACGGCTTGGATTTGCTCAGCCTGCAAAAGGGTCAGGTCAGAGTCTCGAGCCCGGCTCGCAAATGCCTTGCTTCCAAGCAAGTCACGCGCCGACAACAATTTCTCAGCAATTGTCAGCCACCTTAAAGCTCTGATCGAGTGGTGGTTGTCGAAAAAAAATGATTGTTCCATTTTTTTCTAATTTCAGGTTACATTTATCAATACCCGAATTTCAAATCTCAAATCCATCGAGAATTTCAATGTTGCCACCCCATTTGATATTCCCCGCAAAATGTAAATAACCTCTTAGTATACTCTTACTCCAGTAACAATTCCTCTGTTTCCTCACAAGCAAGCCCAAAGAAGATAAATGAGACAATGAAAGGAATCCAAGTGAGCACATCAATTTTCAATCCAGCCTTAAGATAGTAAAAGAATGGGAAAAACAAAAGCCCAATAAACAGAGGAAGTCCAATAGAAAATCCCATTCTACTCATCATTCTGTTTGTAATTGTTTCACGCGGATAGTCGCTAATAATTAAAAGGAAATTCAGACGATTGTGTAAGGGACAAACCTCTTGAGACAAAAACTCAAAAATGGGTGCTTTATTGATGATAGTTACAATTGTAACTAAACAGAATGCCTCTAAGGGGTGCAAGCACACGAGTACTGAAAGAAGCATAATTAAAGTTAATTTAAGAAATTGAAATTACATATTCTCTATTTGAGAGTGTTTGATTCGGGATCCTTTTCTCTATGTCTATCCTTTCCTTTTATATTCCTATGATAATTTTTGTGTGATAAACTGCTTCAAATTGCTACCCATTTTCTTCATGGTGCCTAAGTTGTCGTGGAATTGTCATCTTTAACTGCTGTCATTACTATTTGTTGTTCAACCGCCTTCAAAGAGGTTTATTAAATCATGGAATGTGATAATTAGCTAGATAACTGTCTCAGTAACTGCTATTTTGGATGATCATAATATCTCACATATTAGGATTCTGAGCAACTCGAAGGTTTGAGCGAAAATGAGGTTATCGTGCTGAGCGACAGTGAGACACTCCATTCGTCCAAACTCTGGGCATTATGCGGGCTTAGGCGATGATGTTACTGTGTTCGTGGGCTCCTTTTGCACTTACCAATAATCTCATTTGGGTCTTTGTCCTGGGCCTCCAATTGGGCTTCACTCTTTGGACTATCCAATTTGGGCTGTATTTTTAGTGTGTCAACAATAATTATTTTTGGGATAACGCCTTCTTCTTGCTCATCCTCTTCATGTTCATATTCTTCTTCGTTGGTGTCGTAATTTTTCTTTGGTTTTTTGGATTTTTGAATTATTTTAGAGGTGGGTCCAAATCCTTTTGGGGATTTTAGTGTGGTAAGACTGGATTGAATTTGAGGTGGGTTTTTGATGGATTTGGGGAGAGGATTGGGAATTGGATTCTTCTACGTTTGATTAGGGTAGAGGGGAGAGTTTTTTTTTGTTGTTATTTTTAACATTTTCATAAATTTTGGACTCATTTGTAGTTTTTAAAAAGTTTAGGAGTAAGATTACAATTTATTCTTTATTTTTATTTTATTTTATTTTATTTTTTGTTTTATTTATATAGGAGGGTATATTGGTTATTTTGAGTTAAGAATTGGTCAAAAGGACGTTTTGCGCTAAAAATGTGAAAGGTAGGAATATTCTGCATCAAAAAACGAAAGGTATGAACGTTTTCCACAAAAATCGGCAAAGGTAGAGACGTTTTGCGCCGATTACCCTTTGGTTAATTGTGTATCATTTCAGTTTTACACTAGGTTGTAAATAAAATTAATTGGGCTAAAATTAATATTTGGGCCGACAAATTTTACTCTTTTTTTTTTTATTTTTCTCCATGAATTTGCTTTTGAGC